CCGCGCGGGAGGCCCGGGCTCAGCGCAGCCCGCGCTCGCGCGCGCTCTCGTTCCCTTGAAACTTGATCCAATAGCTTTAACATCGCCAGCGCCCTCGGGAACGTCCTGCGGGGCGGACCCGCGGTGAACCGGGCAGGGCGCGTCTGTCCCGCTCAGGGACGTCCACGTGTGCTGATGTCACTGGGGGCGCACGACACGTCTCGGGGGGTCAGAGTGGACCAGCGCAGCCCCACCGGCGCGGGAAGACAGCCTTGCTTTGGCGTTTTTTTTTTTTCCCTTTTCCTTTTTGTAATTTTACCTGATGGGGAAGCCAACAAAACACAGGGACCTGGGCACAGGAAGTCGTGGCTGGGGAAGGCGCAAGTGCTACGACATCGAAGGTCCAGGGCGTCGGCTTCGTGAGGGGCCCGCCCAGTCGCGGGGGCGCCTGACGCCCACCGGACGCTGTTACGAGCTGGAGCACCTGAGGTAGGAGAGGCCAGTTAAAAGCTTCGGTTTCTAGTCCAGGTTAGCGTGCGTGGTTTTTTTAAGAAGCTCTTTTGCTAAATTATTTTTACTCGGGATGTTTCCAGCAGATTTAAGGCTGCAAACTTGTTAAATTTTATAGGTGTTCGCTTCTCCACGTGAAGCGCAGAAATACTTAAAAATCGCTGTAATGTTTGCATTAGAGACGGTGTTAATTCCAGTTTGCATTTTTATGGTGAAATAAAATCCTTTTCCAATGAACTGGTGTTTTCCGTGGTCGGTCGTCTGCTCGAAGTTCTGTGGAGCGGCCTTTGGTCATGGGTTTGAAAGGGCGGGGTCGTTTGTCGCCCCCACCGCGGACCGGGCTCTGCTGTAGTGGAAACCCCCAGGGAGAGCCCCGCGTGTTTGAGGCTTCCACGCGGGGAACGTAAAGTTTAGTGAACTCACTGAAGAAACACTTAAAGCGAAAGGTACTTTTTAAACATGAAGTACAGAAAAAGTGGTCTTCGCGCCGCCGCGTGCAGGTGGCGGCGGAGTCGGCGCAGCTGGGACCCTCGACTGTGATAACCTCCGTGGTACCACATCTCAGCGTGTGGGCGGCGGGTCACAGCGGGGATGGCACGGCAGACTGACGCTTCCCTTTCCCTGGGATGGCTTCGTCGGTCGCCAGCCGGGTGTGGGTGTGGGTACAGGTGCGCGTGCGCTCAGACGCCTAGCGGTGGGGAGCGCCCCTCGGAAGTCTCGCGCAGCCGCACCGGGCCAGCAGTTGCG